AAATACTACTCTTAACCTTTTATATTTTGTATATTTTTAATTATTTATTTATAAATAAAAATATATATACATAAAAATGATAGATCTTATATAAATATACTAATATTTATATATTTTGTTTATTTAATTTACAATAATAGATCTTATATAAACATACTATATATATATTTAGATATTTAATTTACAATGATCAATCATATACATACATAGTTTTTATTTAATTAAAAACTGAGGGTAAAAGAATAAAATATGCTAATAATTGCAACTGATACGAATATTTTTTTTAGTAGTAAATACTATAATATGATATTATGAGTGTTTCTAAAGAAAATTAGACTTTGGGTTTTCAAATTTAGAATTTACTAGACTCAGGAACTGTCTAATAAGTTAAAAACTTGAAAGCCCAAATTAGACGTCATGTAATATTGAATTAATCAAATAATGATTATAGTTCTATTTCTTTAATTACTTGTATACAAGAATATAATGATCATAAAAATTATCAGTTATACTACATAGCTCTATTTCTTTAATTCATATTTACAAAAATATAATGATTATAAAAATTATCAGTTTATGTGTAATAATATCTTTTATTAAATATAAAAATTAACTGTTTTTGCATTTCTTTCATTAAATATAAAAAGTAATTATTTTCATATTTCTTTCTTTTTCATATTTTTCTTACTAGTATTACTTTCACGAATAAATATTTTTTTTGTATAGCTTTTTTTTATTTCTCCTCGTTAACTTTTTTTTTCTTCTCACTAATATTACTTTAACAAGTAAATATTCTTTCATATAACTCTTTTTCATTTCTCTTGTTAATTTTCTTTAATTAACAAGCCTTTTTTTATTTTCTCTGACTGCTATTCCAAATAGAGGTAGATATATCTTTCACTATTTGAATAGTTCTTTTTTATGTTCACATTATTTATTTATTTTTTTTGATTTTTCTATTAGCTTTCCAATACAAGTAGGCACTTCTGTTAATAACTACTTTTTGTTTTGAGATTTCTATTTGAAAGAATATAGGGATATCAGATTTATTAACTTTACTTTCTTATAGTTTTCTAACTATAGATAAATATTTTTTTAATATTTATCACTCTTTTTTTTTTTGAGGATTATAGAAGTATCAGATTTTTTGCATTCATTTTTTTTTAGTTTTAAAATTTTGGAAATTTTAGAAATTTTGTTCATTTTTTATCTAATAACTATATTATAGTGAAAAAATTAACTTTTTTCTATTTTGAATATTCTTTAAGATCATACCAAACAATATATTCAAGAAAAAAGTATCATTTATATTCCTGTTCTAGCTCCTATTTACCAAATTCTCGCTTTTATTATTACAAACATTATTCTTATTCTTATTCATATATCTGCTATTCTTATTCATATACCTGTTATTTATATTCATATTCATATACCTGCTATTTTCATTTACATACTCATTATTTATGTTCATATTCATATACTCACTATTCTGATTCATATACCTGCTATTTTTGTACTTATCATTCTCGCTCACCTTCTCATAAAAGATTACATAATTGTGATCATAATAGGTTAAAGGATATTTAAAGTACTTTTTTTATTATAAGGCTATGCAAATTTAATTAATTGGTTCTCATAACCTAGTTGGCTTTTTTTTTAAATGTTTTATATAATAATTTATAAAAATTTTATAAAATTTTTATAAATCGTTATATATAAAAATTTAAAAAAAAGCTGACAGGCTATAAGAACTAATTAATTAATATTGGCCGTACAAAATTAATACAAATCTAATTATATGACAATTTTAGAAAGAAAAGCATTGAGAGAAGGTAAGTAATAATGACTTTATTATTTATAATAGGAATATCAGCTAATAATTATTGCTAATATTTTAGAAAATTCAGCTCTAAGATTCCAAGTTGCCTTGCTTGAAGAAAGACTAGAATATCTTAAAAGTGCCCAATTATCTGACACCTTATCTGAACATATTGAAAGGGCCTAATCATCTGACGTCTTGTCTGAAAAAAGACTAGGATGTCTTGAAATGACCTAATCATCTACTATAGCAGACTTATTAGACAAAATAAATATTGATAATGATGATATTAATAAAAATAGTAAAAATGAAAATAATGGCAAAGGTCGTAAAGATAAGAGAAAAAAAAATTCATTCTTACCTAGTAAGTCATATAATCTAACTCAGACAAGGTTTAAGCATAAGCAATTAGTAACAATAGATGCTGAGTATAAGAAAGCATTTAGAGTCTTTTTTTTTTTTTTTTTTTAATAATATTAATATTGAATTACATAATATACTTATATATATTTTAATATACATTTTATTTTATTAATACAGAAAAAAGTACTTTGAGTAGCCAAACAATTAGTATATAATAGTCACCTTTTGTCAGTAAATAACAATAAAAGCTAGCTCTAGCAGAAAGACTTTGTAGAAATTACTATCCTTTCTATCCTTAAGAAACATATTAATAAAAGCCTCGAATATCTAAATAAAGAAATATTTCAAGTACTCAAAACTAACTATAAAAACCATGTATCAACTGTAAAAATTAAGTCAGATGCTGACAAATAGAAAGTGAATAAAAGTCATGCTAATAAGAATTTGTACATACAGGATTTATATATTTTCTTTTTTATAAAATATATTCGTTTTTTTTTTTTTTTTTTTTTTTTTTTTTTTTTTTTTTTTTTTTTTTTTTTTTTGGTGTTTTTTTTTTTTTTTTTTTTTTTATATTATTTTTTTTTTTTTTTTTTTTTCTTTATTATTTTTTTTTTTTTTT